TTCTATCAATAAACTGCCAAACCTTTTTTTTTGATGTATATAATTGAAATGTACTCTCATCTGTAAAAACAACTCGATTCTAATCAAAATTCTTATGTTTTTTTGCTTATTGCAACCATTCTTTTAATAGTCTTCTTTAAGCAAAGGTTTAAAAATTTCATTACTAAACTTTCCTTTAGACTTACGAAGACGTCACCTTACTATTTCTACACTAAGCCCAATATCCCTTTCTTCCATTTTTTCTTGTATTTAAATGGCTGTTATATTATGTTTTTTCTCTGCCATCTTTATAATCTTGTCATCTTATTTCACAGATATTATATAAGGCTACCCCAGTCTTTTTGAAATATTTAGGTCCTGATTTTTATGATATCTTTTAATCCAATAAATAGCTGTAGACTTACTATAATGTACCTGTTTAGCAATAAATCCAAAACTAAACTTTAAACTAGCTGAGTGCTCACGTAAAAAGACAATTTCATATTGTTTCTCTAAAAAAAATTCTATTTTTCAAGCAAAAGTTTGATGATTATCTATATTTTTTTTGTATTATTGACACTTATAAATTTATAGATGATTATGTATTGTATTATATTATATTTCTGAAAAATTTAAGGGGTAGTTATATAATAATTTTAGACAATCTTGGATGGTCAGATACTTATGACTGCTACTGTAAAATGGTTTCAAATTTCTAGTAAGTATTTTGGTAAATGATTGATTAGTAATAAAACTTTCTGTAATAATATATTGTATCTTAATCAGTTTAATAATAATTTAAAAAAATACTTCTTAATAATATTTTGAAGATTGTTTTTTTCAGTATAAATATAATTTTAGCAGCAATTATTTCAATCTATAAAAGAAAAATCATATAAATATATATATTTTTATTAATTAAAAATTATCAGTTAACTTATTACTTGAATGGATTTATTACAATAGTTAAACCTTCATATAAGATTATAGAAATATAATAGCATATTATTTTTCTTATACCTATATATATTAAAACAAAAGTATGCTTTTTATTAATATATGCTAATATTGCTGCTTCTTATTTATCTTGAAACTCTTATTATTTAAATACTTTTGCAAGTATATTAAATGATATAGGTGGATTAAAATTTGAGTTTTATAAAAGTGATATATATCATTTATTTAAAAATTTATGATACCATTCAAATTTAAAGTAGTAATCATAATATTTATATAAGTCTAATAGTGAAAAGCTTTATAAGGTAAACATTTTAGAATTTTTTTAAAATTAAATATATGTTTAGAAAATGTAGATTCAAATTCTTTGATTTTAATTTTTTCTTAAATAGTAAGTTTATAAGACAATAAGATACAAAATTCTAAAAATAGATTCAAAAATTATTGTATTATTTGATTTATTTAATTAATTTCAAATAAACTTATGCTTTTCTTATCTTAATTAAACATTTTCATATTATTTTTTTATTTTTAAATTTTTTTAATATGATTCTGATTTTATTTAGCAATATCATCAAATTTCTATAATTTTATTTTTTTTTTCTTATTTTTCTATTTTTTTAATAATTTGCATATTTTTTTCAGAAAATTATTAAAGATTATAGATCATTTGTAAAATTTTTAGTATATATAAGAAGTTATTATTATATTTAAAAATTGCAAAAGTATGATGTGTACTATAAGTTTTCTAGTATAATATAGTTGATTTTGTGATTTTTTCTTAAGATTAAGTTTTTATAGTTATAACTCTAAAAATATTTGAATAAATTGAATCTACTTTTGTTTATAATTCATGAATATTATAGGATTATGCAACCTTAGAATATTTAAAATAAAAACTTTTTTAATAATTTTATATATATTTTTATACTTGCAAAAAAAATATTATTTATTTCATAATATATAATTTGTAACATTTTCATATCTTTAAAAATTTCAAATTATATGTAAAATTCTTATCATTATTACTTTAAATTTCTAAATATATATATAAACTATTAAACTTTTCAATTATATAAAGACCAGAAAATAAAGAGACTTATGGAAATGTTAAATTTTATTTTTTTATAATAACATGATAATATGAATTATAAGTATAATCTTTGTTTATTTATAATTTGATATGAATAGAAAGAATTTTAAGTAATATGAATATGTCACAAAGTATATATCTTCCATTTATACTTTTATATATTTCTAATGTAATATTGAAAGTTTGCATATAATATATCTGATCTGAAACTTTAATATAATAAAATATGAAAATAAATAAAAAAAGAAATTTAAATTAACTAGTATTAAAGATATTTAAAACTTTTTGTATTTGGTAACTATTTTTACTTGAGAAAAATTCAATATATTAATAATATATTTAGGCAGTATATTTATTTATTTATTATTTATTTAGCCTATTATTTTTAACATGTGATCTATATTTTATTGTTTAAGATGATAAATAAATCTGAGTATTTAAAAATAACAAATAATAAATATGTATTATATTATAAATTAATTATAAAAAATACTTTACTTTTAATACTTTTATAATAATAACTAAAAAATAGAAACTATTATTAAGTCCAAAACAATCTACTAGTATTTGTTTTTATCTAAACTTTTATGTAATTGCAAAGACCAATTAGCATCAACTCAATTATTAAGCAGAACAGACATATATATATGTAACTTTAGACACTGTATATATATAATTTTATATTTCATTTTAGATTAATTATAAAAAAAATATTTAGTTTTATAAAAATATAATAATAATAACATTACATTTATTATACAGTATAAACAATTTAATCACAATAAATAAAATTAATAAAATTCAAATTATTACTACTTACTCAAAAAAATGATAAGCATAAAATATGATCATAGAATGATAAAGTAACTCAAGTTTAATAAAACTATGATTTTAGTTTTTTTATAAAATGATTTATGGTAAAATATTAGCAATTCAAAATCAGACTATTTTACTATTAAATCAAATATTTTGGCCACTCTATACATAATACACATAATCATAATTCTTATCATTAATTGATTAATTTACATTTTTATAACAATGGCTATCTTTAATTGTGTTTTGCTGAGAATAAAACAAATTTGTCTTCTATTCTGTCACAATAATATGTTCTATTATAATAAAGTATTCTGTCACAATAAAATGTTCATTTCAAAATCTTAAAGCATTAATGTTTAAAAAAATAAGTTTATTAAGTATTTTGCATTAATTATTATTATTGATATTTGCATAACACTAATTTTTTCTTTTTTACCTATAGCTAATACGAGTAAATTTATGCAAACAAAACTAATTTACTAAATATTAACTGATTATAAGACTGAATTAGGAATCAAATGGTATAAATGATACTTTTTAATTGCAAATTCTGCTATTTTGCATATTAAACCTTTTCAATATATATCTATGTAATGAAAAGCATTTTTTATATACTGCAGATAGTTATAGGTGAAATAAAAGTAAAGGCTAATGAAACAGTTTCTTGTAATCCTATCTATGAGTAATCACAATGTAGCTGATTAAATTTTTTGGTTGCATTTTAGAAGTTTTCAATATAATTAAACTTATAATGAAATTTAGAATAAAATATAAATTGATATCTAGCTGCAATAATAGCTTCTTCTAGTTGCTCTTTTTGCACTAAAAAGTCTGGTTGTTCACTCATTAATTTTTGTGTTTCTTCCAATTTTAATCTTTCATTTGATCACAATCCCTTTCTATTAAAACTTATTTTAACCTTTTTAGTTGTTCACGTAACTTAGAAATATGATAATCTAATAAAAAAATTATATCTTGTTAAATCTTATTACTAAAATATGTACTATGCATCTTTGGCTGCTTTCCTTCAGAACTAAGGTTCATATATTTGGCAACAAGTGCATCTGGTAAAAAGCAGCATGATTTGATATATTGTCAAATGCAAACAATGCCTGGTATCCTGAAAAATATACTTTAAATATAGGTATAGCATGTTCAACTACTTAATTTACTAAATTCTCAGCCTTTCATCATCTATCATTATTTTTCTTGGATACATAATAAATAGGCTTTTTTAGAAATATCTGGTATTTGCATTTCATTGGAAAAGGCAAAATAGTCACAAACTTTAGTTAAGAAAATCACTAATATGAATTGAGTGACTATTACTTTTTTTTTTTAAAGGTTACTCTTCATTAGGAATTCAAAGACTCTGACTTCTATCATAAGCTGAGAAAATGCATTTATTATATGTAATAAGGATAAATGATTTCATATTATTATCTGGCCAGATTATCTTTTCCAAATTTATTTCTTGAGAAAATAGGCATTCTATTCTCAAGTTCATTCATTTTTCTAAAAATACTTTTTGATAAGCTACCATATGTTTTCTTTCATATCTATTTATATACATTTTCTTTTTACCTTAGTATACATATATACTAGCTCTTTTAAATAATTCTTCATAGTATTAGCATATATAGCCAAAGATAGCACAAATTCAAGCTCTAGTAAAATGATCTTATTCATTTATACCATTAGCATTTGTAAATTAATGTCTCACTTATTCTACTAAATATATGATTTTACTTGAAGAAGAATATTCTTATCTTAAAAAAAGCTTTAAATCTTAACATGATGTCCTTAGCGAGAATAAGGAATTTGATGAGTTATTATATATTTATATGTTCAAGAATGAATACATTTGACATGATATACTCCTTTTCTTATTACATTAGTAACAATATTACTTGCTTCTATTTTTGAGTAGTTGTTTTTTATAAGTTGAAGGTAAAGATAAATGCTATTTAAACGTATTCAAATCTCACTATTTGTATTTTCTTTTTTGATATCTAACTTCAGATTTTTGAGAGTAGTCAGAATTCTATTATACTAATTATAACACTCAATTTTATCATTTGACTGCTCACTAGTATTATCATATATTTTTATATTAATATTCTCAGTAGATTTTCAGTACTTTTAAAAGTATCTAATATAAGAGTCCTCTTTGCTGATTCATGTTGTTGCTATTGTTTTCTTTTTTAGTGTAGTTTGAGTTACCAATATAACATAGTCTATGTATTTTATGAGAGGTATTTTCTTGATAATATTTTTTTGCTATTTCTTGAAATTTTTTTACAATATTTACAACTTCATCATTTTTTACTAGTTTATCATAAACAGAAAAATTATCAGCATCATTATTAACATTAGGAAGGTCAATATTATTAAAGTTATCATGAATAGATATATTATTAATATCAATTTGCACATTATCAATATTACTTTTGATATTCTAGCTTACAGTTCTTGCTTCACAAGCTTTCCTTAAATGCTTTTCACATTTTGTTGAACATGAAATATTTACAAATTAGAAGTATTAATAAAATCTACCTAGTGAGAGTATCATATATGATACATCACATAAGGTAAGTGTTATACTTTGTTATTTAATAAAAGTTTTTTATTTTTATAAAAAAAAAAAGATTCTTCTTATAAAAATATAAAGCAAGAAATTTATTATGTGATAAAAGAAATAATTAATCTAGACTATTTCCTTAATAATAGTAATTGACTATTGTATCTGATATTCTTATCATATGCATGTTTATTGATCAATAAAATTATAGGATTTTTTATTATGTAACAAAGATCGACATTTCAAATTTGGCTTCTTAAAAAATTTTTTATTAGAACTAAGTTATTTGCACTATAGTTATCATAAATTTTGTATCTTTAAATTTATAATATATATAATATTATAAATTATAATACTTTTCTTAATTCATAATTATATATTATCTTTATATTTAAAATAATATAAGTTAGTTTAAAATAATTATTTTATTATTAGAAAGCTAATTTTTAATAAATTTTACTACATATTTTAAATTAATAATTTTATTAAATTATTGTATTTTTATTATTCAATTTTTGAAAATATTTAATGAATATTTATTAATAAGTTATTATTTAATTTACTTTAATTCAATAAAAGTTGGTAATATTTATTAATGTTAAATTATTATATTTTTATTATAAATTTTATTATTAATTTTATAAATAAATTTCTTAATAATTTTTAAAAATAAAACCTTACGTAATAAGATTATATAATCTTAATTTTTAATTTTAAATCTTTGATATATTTTATATAAAGTATTTGTTAAAATTTAAATAATATTAAAATGTATATCATTTAAACCATTTTCAAATCAAATAATTTAAATGAAAAATTATTCACTCTGCATCATATTTACCGCGTTTTATTTTTATTATCGAAATTTTTTATGTTAAACACCCTCATAGTGTTTATGATATCTTACATACAAATAAATAGAAATTAAATTGTAACTAGCAATTTAATGGGTTTTCAAAAGAGGTTTTAATGATCTTGACTTAAAATTTGACAATGTAATTTTCTACTTTACAAAAGTTTATATTTATGAAAAAGTTTGATATAGCCAGTAAAACTTATTTAATTGTTCTTTCTATGATAAACAAGGTATAAATGATGAATTGCTATCTTGTTAAACTATACTAATCTACATTAAAAATGAAAAATGATGAATAATTTGCAAATATGATCAAAATATATATTAATTGTTTCAAGCTAATTTCTCTTTTATCTTTAAATGAAATACATAATATTTTCTATATCCTTTTTTACCGGTGGACAACTAGGTTTTTCTTCAATTGATGATCCATCCCAAGTAAGATATTGTCTCGCGCGATTTGCAATTAAATGTGCATAGAATGCGGGTGTTACTATTGATATGGCCGATGTGCATCTAGGTCAAAATGTTACATAATATTTAGACAATTTATTTTATTTTAGTAAAAAACATGAATGAAATTATTACCAACCTTGCATTTAAATAACATAGGTTATTCGTTAACAATTGCAAATCATCAGCACCAAACCCGTTGTCGTCTCTTAACACACGATAATGAGCTGAACGACCCGTCCCTTGAATGGTGGCATGAGATTGTAGGACTATGTAAAAGTAGTTACAAACAATTAATAACTTATTGAAGATATTTAAATAGTACACGATATAAATAATTAGGAACGCACAAAAATCAAATTCATGTCTTGCAACAATCCCCGTATCAACAACGGTCCCTGGTTTGCAATTACCGTTACGATCTCCATCACGTGGCGATTCTGGTTGAATCCTAATTTATTAAAAAAAAAATTTAGTGTAATGGAAAAAAAAAAAAACATATGTAATAGTGGCATAAACTGAATTACTTTGTGTGATGTCTTTTTTGTACGATAATAAAAGTCAATTTTGGTGGGTTATTGCCATATCCTCTTTTAAAGGCTCGTTTCAACGCTCCTTCCACTTCTAATTCTATGACTTTTTTAAATTGTCCCTCGCTAACTCCATCACGATAAAATAAAATTCTCTTCGGGAGACATTTATTTTTAGCTTGGAAAGCTTTTAATAGATCAACAACCATTCCTTCCATATTCTCAATAGTCTCATTACGTGGTTCATTTTGCATACTATGTCGACCACTATAAATTGTGGCATTGGCATCCATGGAGGCACAAACGGCAGCGATGCTAGGTATATGAAATTCTCCTTTACCTGAATGGAAAACATCCGCGCCGAATACCATTGTCTAGATAATAAATGATAATCATTACAGAATTTAATTAGATCGAATTTGAGATCATAATAAATTAGTATGCTTACCGGTGCCGAAGAAATAAAGTTCATCTGTCCAGGCGTTAGGGTAAAGTTTCTACCTCCAAGTTTGGCGTTTATTTTTAAGCCGAGATTTACACAAAATTGCTCGTTCGAACGCTTTCTCAGATGCTTTGCCAACATGCATTGAGTACGCACACCCAAATCATTTTCTCCAGCGCGTTTTATTTCACCATATAATGGAGACCGTTCTTTCATTATGACTATAATCAATTGAGGTCCTTTTTGTTGATCCTTTCTAACTTTAATAGCCTGAATTAATCCCTATAAAACAAATAAATACAAAATTAAATATATTGAGAACGTTACATTATAATAATTAACAAGTAATTTACCTCTTTAATATTTCTCTGATGACCCCAGGTTACTATTTGTGGATCATTCGCAATATTCTATTATGATTTTTTTTTTAAAACAAAAAAATTAAAATTTGGATCTCTATAAATAATATCTAAATTTTGTAATATTACCATCCCCTTCTCGTTTAAAACTTCGCGTAATTGTCGCATAAATGCTCCAACAACGTTCGTATTATCTCCGGACAACACTAACACTGACCAATTAAATAATGTCTGGCCCTGATGGATTTTCGTGGGAAAAAAAAAAGTGTTAATCATAAAATATTCTATCTAAAATAAATTTATATTGACTTACATCAAGAACTTTTCGTTTCACGAGATTCCAACGTCCCCCTTCTATAAATTGAACTGCGGGACTACTACTTTTATGAAAAGTCATTGACACACTAGGAAGAACACGTCCTAAGAAAAGACCGTTAATATCTTCTATTTTAAAAGCACAAAACAAAAAAATAATAATATAATTTTGCATTTTGACTCTTACCATTAACTTTTACCTTTGTTTCAACATCAATATTCATATTAATGGATTTCAAAAACTCGTCGCTATCATAGCGAAAGAAGTTGTTAAATGAACTATTAATAGTTTTAAACCGCTCGGCCGGTTTGATACAAGTAAATTTGATCATTTCAGCGCGAGCGTCATCAGAAAGAGTAAACTTGAAGGGTTGATCTAGAAAATGGTATTTACGTAAGTAAAAGAGTAAAAACGGAGAAAGAATTTTTATCTAAATGCGACCTGGTATTATCTCGCAGACCTCTAAAGGAAGATAACAATTTTTTGCATCAACAATACAAGGAAGTTTTCCAAATTCAAGCCTTTTTTTATATGTATCTAGGAAGTATTTAGTAACTGAAATATCTTTATCATCAATCTTAAATGTAGTTCTGTCTGCTGAAGTAGTCGTTAAGCCATTAATAGTATATTTTCTTTTCTTATCACCACGATGCAAGACGTAAATTTTAACTCCTTTCAATATCTATAAATCAATTTCAATTTAATATATATATTTTATGAAATTTTAAACGCCAAGATATCTTCATTCACCTTATTTAAATGATCCCTATGCTGCTCTTTGATCCCGTTCCTCAAATCATTTTTGTCACACCATAAGAAGCCTGCAATAACGTCCATGACATTTCCAGGCGGATAAAAAATGCCAAAACTCGTGTCGACATTCACAAGGAGACGATCTGTAAACAAAATTTAAATAATGGATTAGTCCAAATAAATATGAGCTAAAATTATAAATACGTAACCTGATAAGATTAACATACCCCAGCCTATCCTCAAAGATTGACAGAATCCTTTTTTTAATTCCTCACCAGTACCCAAAAGAATCCTTTGTACATCCGTCACAGGAGGATATATTCCTCTTCCAACCGATAAATAAACACTGCGGACTTTGAAATTTAAGTAAGTATTAAGCGCATTCATACAAGTTTGAATATCATCATCCGAAACATCTGGTTCTTTCCCCGAACCAATATAGTCCTGTAAGGATCGTAAATTAATCTCTTTGGCACTTTTAATTTTTACTTCGAATTTTGTAGGTCTGTTATTATTATCTTCACTAGGTGGAAGAACGACCTAACGATAATTATTAAGTAAATATATATTTTTTTCTTATAGATGAGGGAGATAATGAAATAGATGATACAAACTTCTAAAACACTATCCTCTTTGCCGTTTCCCATTGGTAATGTAGTTGAACAATATATCAAGTCATTTCCATCATAAACCGGCAAACAATTGCCAAATAATTTTTGCTTCATCATTTCCATAAAAATCTTTCCTCGGACCGTTTTACTCGGTTTCCTACCACGAGGTGAAAGACTTTCAAAATTATATCGAACCAGCTTTAAATTTGGGAACTTTTTTTTTTATTTTTTTTTTAAAAAAAAAAAAATAAATAAGAAAAGGTTTAGGACTTTAAGCAACTTTTATAAATAAATTACTGTATCAATTAAGAACTATTTGAAAAATACCTTTGTAACATTAATATAATTAGCCCGAAGTACTACTTTTGTACCCTTAGTTCCCAAGTTGGGTCTGGGTGGTGGGGGTGGTAAGGGTGTTTTTTGTAAACTGAGTTCTGCCATTTGTTTTTCCATTTTTTTTTTTTTTTTGTTTTAAACCAAGATTTCTCTTAATAAAAGATACAATTCTAAGCGGATGATAATGAAGCCTTATAAATATAAGAAGGTTAGTGAATTAAAAAAAAAAAGGTTCATATAAAATTTTCTTTTTTTTTTTTTTTTATTGCATTCTTTAATTCGTTCGATTCTAAATATCAGAATGATTACAAGCAATGTTTATAATTTTGAAGACATACTTTGATTTTTTTATTTCAGTTTCCGAGTTTTGAAAAATGAGATGACGTGGAATTGATCTTAAGAAAATAAAAATGAAAAAATTGAAAATTGGAAAAAAGGTTTTGATAATCTATTTTATATTGGTACTTTTTCGTCGCACGAAATATATTCAATTCCATTTTGAACTGACAATAACAAAAATGCTGTGACTTTTTACCGCATTTGGGAGAATTTACAGTTTTATTTAAAACAATGACATTTTTCTATTATTTTCACACGATGGTGTATACATTATATACATTTGGATACTTGTGATAAGATCAAATCCTTTCTAATTTTATTTTAATTAAGTATCCCAAAATATGCACAGGGGACATATACAAAGTATTCACAGTTTAAAGGCTAGAATTCCCCGTTGGAAAACCGGTATTATTTCCTTAAATGTGGTAATGTACGCAGTTCTTAAATCCGTCAGCCCCTTGATTAGCTTTTGTTTCTGTCTTTGGGAACCGGAATTAAAACGTTCTTGTTTGTTGGTGTAACGGTGTAGGACCCCCTTTTAATAATTTCGACTTTTATCAACATCCTAATAAGTTCAACAAGCCCTTTTCTCTTTTTCACATGATTGTGACCATCAATTTCATAATTCATTAAAAATTTATCTATTAACTGTTAAATGCGTTTATTGACTTTTTGTACATCATGAATGGAAAATGAAAAAAAATAAAAATTAAAGATAAAAATAAAAATAAACAAAATAACTAAAATAAAGTAATTTACAGAATTTCTTCTTTTTGTTTTTAATCATCCGATTCCACATAAGTGGGATAAACGCGAGAATTTCCATCGTCCAAATACCTCGTACATTCAAAATTTCCAAGTAATTTGAAATATATATTATCAACTTCATTGATTCTCAACCATTCTTCTAAATCGACTCGAATGAAAAATTCTTCAAATATCACGTCACCCATTTCAACTTCAACGTATTCATCTTCATCATCATCAACATAATATGAATATGAATAGTTAAGGTCGCTCATCACAATGCACCTTTCATCCAATCGTTCAAGAAATAATGAAAGACTTTGACTCGTGAATACTGCCATCAATAAAAAGGTGAAATTATATAAAGAGTTTGGTATGGATTCGGAAATTTCTATCGCCAACTCATTTGAGATTAAAGTAGGTATCAAATTTTCGTAAAATACTTTTTCATTATTTAATTCAATGATTTCTAATTTGTTTAATGATTTGAAAAATTTAGGTAGTTGAGGTAAAATGCAAGCCGATATGTTTGCCCTAAAATGGATTAAATTAGGACAATACACCGTTACGTGATCGATGAGTGAACATGGTTGTTGTATTATATCGTTGAGTAAAAGTCTCGTTAAACATAAATTATTCGGTGGTAAAATGGATTTGATGTATGTACATTGTAATGGACTATTAAATGCGATATTTAAACTTAAGGGTAATGCTTTTTTTATAAAAAAAGATTTATGATCGATCGAATGAGTTAAAGGGGAAAAGTGAGAACCTTGAAGATTTTTACAATCGATCAAGGTCAATGATGAAAGATTACAACGATCAATCAAAGCGTCAAAAGGATGATCATTTTCGAGAAGGTCACATTCATGAAAGGTAACGTCTCGTAAAGTTGATGATTTTGTCAAGAGAGCGGGACCGATGACGGACAAGAAACCCTTTTGAGCAAAAGAACAAATGAATTCTTTTAAATACCATTGAGACATTATAAGTCTATGAATCCCCTCGTAAAGTGACCAATCGAATTGTAAAGTAGGATCATGATGATTAAAAATGCTCAATTGTATGATTTCAATGTTATGACAAAGCTTTGATAACGTGTTGATTACTTTTAGTTGATCAGGATGTTTACCGAATTTAAATTCTCGTAATTTACACAAACAAGGATTCGCGAGAGGATGTAATGGGATTGGAGTGAACTTAAAATGATTTTGAAATTTCGAATCAGTTGCCAAATCTAATCTGATCAATGCGGGGCATTGAGACAAAAACATTTTACACAATTCTTCAACCATCAACAACTGATAATCAACGCTTCCCAACTTGAATAATGTGTTGTGATTTTCAGGCCATAATTCTTGTACACTTTTCAATACGCTACGATATTCTAATTCTCTCAAGTAAGATGCGTAATTGAAGAAGGGGGTCTTTTTACCACAATAGTCCAATAAACCTCTCACATCAATGTCAAGTCGTTGTGAAAGGAAAGATCTCGCTTTAGGTGAAAGAAAGCAAAGATATGATATGACCAATTTAGCGGAAGGTAAATGCCAATTGAACGTGTTTCGCCATAGTATTGGAATCACGTGCCTGCAAAAATGTCGATTAACCAACAAACAATTAAACAATGAATTCCTTATATATTTCATCGTGCTAATCGGGTCGTCATCCATCACATCCTCGTTATATATCGCCCAGAAAATCTTTTCTAAACACAACGAAGGTAAATCTCTCATCTTTTTTTAATAACGGGTATGACTTTGAAGGTTAGGTAGGGAAGATGTAGTTCCAAAAAGAAAAAGGACACAGAAAAAGTGTGGTATTAAATATGAAAAAAAAAAATTGGTACGTTGCACATTAAGTTTGAGGCGCCAATTGTTATTTTTTGATAAGCAAAACAAAAAAAAAAACGGATTTTAAGATCAAGTATGTGGCATATAAATAAACAAATAATTCGTAATCCCTCTTGTGATCTTTATTTTATTTACCCTATTTACTCAATTTGTGCCAAATGTCTATCTACACTTATTAAATTACATGATAAGGTGAATTTAGACATTACAGGACCGCAGCATGGAGTAAGATGATGAATAATTTGCAAATCTTATGCATAAACATCAAATAAATAGCACCCAAATGGTTAACAAATTTAATTATCATGCAACAACGAGTCAACCAAATGTTCATTTCTACTACCTTTTAAAGTACATTTATTTATTATTTTAAAACTAACGGAGAAACCATTTGAGGGTTCATTTGAGGTTGGCTGATTGTCGATATTCTCGGAATAATTTTAAATGTCAGAATATGGTAAGTGGGTATTTTAAAGAACTTTTATGGTTAACTTGAATGTAAGGATCGTGGTTATTCCTGCCAAATATGGCAAGATTTGATTTCATCTCTTCAGACTAATTAGACTAATTGCCAATCCTCGTGTCGCACGTATGTTTAGCACAACAATTTATGGCTTGGTGCGGTTGAAGCAAGACTTAACCGATTGGTCAAAGAACTTATAACTTAAAAACTGGTTGCCTTTGTCTACAAATATGGCAAATTTATTTCGATTGAAAATTTACCAAGGTGGTGATAAAAGGAAACAATTATATAAAGTGTAAAGTACATAAGCCATTGATGTGATAATATGAGGGATAATGGGAGGCTGAATGAATATCTTTACTTACTGTAAATATTAATGATTCCCTGTTGTGTGGCCTAATCCAAAAGATTGAATCCCACTTTTAAATGAAAATTAGGAATTATCATTGGCCTACTTTATATCAGGTTTTGAGCGTTTACTGAATTTTTTTTGCAAAATGTAACTTTCTTATCATCTATTTTCCGAAACATCTTTTTCTAGAATTACACAAAAACCACACGAAAATATTTAAATTTATTAAACGTATTAGCATCCAAAAACAAAAGCGCACTGGATTTTTTTTAATTTACTTCTTTTCTGTTGAGATAACATAAATTAATTACATGATGACTTGGCGGACTTATTAAACGTGTGTTCCTGCGGATGAAATTATCGTGCAGCTATGGCATTTGTTGAGGTAATGCAAAATTATTAAAAATTATTTTTTAACCTATATTAAAGCATCTGGATGAAAAAAAAAAAAAATTAAGACCGAAAATTAAAGAAAGACAAAAAGAAAATCAAAACAGAAATATTATAAACACCAAATCCAGTGATAAAGAATAATAAAAAATGATATGTAGGTAGTAAATAAGAAATAATGATTATATAGAGTGTGACTATGTAGAAAGAATTTGAGTCAATAAAGAATTTATCTTCGGAGAAGAATGCTATTCGTCAAAAATTAAACCGAATATAGCAGCTTTTAACGAAATTTACTGATTTATTTCAAAATAAATCTTGTATACTTTTCTTATTATTTCCTCTTTTTTTTCAATGATAAAATTTCATAATATAATATCAAATCACTATTTGTTATAAGTTAAGTACAAAGAAAATTAGTAGAGCAATGATTAAGCTGCTACCTTAGTAATCTATTATTGTAGTATGGATGATCTATTTTCCTGACGTATTTCGTATCACCATATTCATATATATATATATATATTTTTTTTACAATACTGTATATAAAGTTGGATAATTTCTCACCCCTTTATTTTTAGTTATCATTATTTCATAATTATTGTGCATCTTCTTAGTTTGAGAAAATTTTTTTTTTTTTTTTTTTATTTTATAACTTTTCCTCCTTGGTACAAAAGACCAACTGGTTGATATTTTTTTAAAGGACAAAGTCACAATTAGATCGAGTTGAATACAAATATCAGGAGTGTCAGTCGATACAAAACATACTTTTGGGTGTGTATTAAGTGTTATAATGATCTTGGTAACATTATGTTAATTTGTTTTTAACTTTCAAAGTTTTATTTCTCAATATACTAACTAAGCCATTTTATAATGACACACGTACAGGTATATTTTATTCTTTGAGTGCAGATGAAAAATTTTGGTATCCGTCGTCAAATTTAATGGCTATTAGTTGAAGGTAAGAAAAATATTCAAGATTATGGTAAAAAAAAAAAAAAAAATGTTCTTTTAAATGTAATATAATGATGAACAAGTTGTCGCCCCAGTCCGAGTTATTTTTCATGTGGATACGACAAAAGTGTAAAGCCAAACAACATACACGCTTCTGATGATGATTTGGTTTATCATATAAAAATTGTTTAATTATTTTCACTTATTAATTTCTCTGCTTTTTTATTACATATATACAGATTAGATGATTCCATAAAGTTGTTGGTATAAAAGAAGGGATACGTCTATGCGTACGATCCAGAGTCCAAGTTGTATATTCTGTTATTCTGTTAATTTTAATTAAAATGAAGTATAAAAAAATTTGAATATTTTTTTTTATTACAAATGCGATGTGAACGTACAAAGAACTTTGAAAAGAGAGTTGTTTAAACCAATGTTTGAAGTAATTTTTTTAATTCACTCATTCGATTAGTTAATAAGATTCCTCCATGTGATTGGTTCATAATGATCCATATATTCGTGTAACTTTTATCTAGGAAAATATTTTCACTTTTAAATATTAAAGGATGAAATGTATTCTGTGTTCTTTTCTTATTAGATGAAAGACACTTTATATCAATTACATTCTATTAAAAAACAAAAAAAATTTTTTTCCTCAACTTTTAATTTTTAGCATTATTTAATGTTAATAAAGCGCAAGTTATTAAACTTTTAAAGATTCGAATTTTTTTATTGAGAAAAATGCCTCGAGTTTCAAAACAAATCCGTCAATTGAAAAAAAGCGCGCGTGAAGTACAAACCAAAAATTAAAGGCAAAGAAATGGAATGGATAGAAAAAGTACGCGAAGATGAATAATTTTACATTAAAATAAAAATGTCAAAGTATAAAATGTCCTTTTATTCATGAAAAAATATTATAAAATCAATAATAATAAATACAATAATCTACTCCATTTTAATAAAAAATCGGAATAATTTTATCGTAATAAACCAAAACCTTAAATAGCATTAGAGGAATGTTTACTACCAACGCAAGGATAACAATGTCCACATTTTCCACCTCGTCCACAACACTCTACAATGAATTAAAGAATATATAACGAATGGTAAAAGATAATAATAATAATAATAATGATTACGGCGATTAAGAAGGAAGGAATGGAATTTATGTTCATGATGAGTAAGATCAGGATGAACAAAATAGCATAAAATTCATTGTTGAGAAAGACTTTTGATTTGTATGACTTTATGGCTCTAAATTGTGATTTTGATGTTTCCTTTTGCCTTTTTTTTTTTGGTAGTCCTACTTTTTATAAATGTTTATAAGCAGAAAACGCATTTTCTAAATATTTTTGATGACGGAACTGATTTTTGATCTTTAATGCACGTCGTCTGATCAAGAAATCAACATTGTTGGTTTAAAATAAAAATTAACGAAATCGTCTCGAATGATAATCCGTTGTTTTGATTCAAGAAATTCAATAATGAATGGCTCCGACACATTGTGTTTGTGTTCTTTAATAAACGAAGTGCGAACCTTTTCGAAATTGAATGATAATTAAATTTACCATAGATTTCCAGTGTTACATATTACGATCGGGGAGAGAAACAATTCTTGCAATCAATGGCATTTTAAAAGTTAATGAATAAGAAACATTAATACAAACAAATGTATCCGATGCAGCAAGTACTCTTATTATTCTTTCGAAGATTCGTCTAAAATAACGAACGGATTACCTTTTCTGACAAAAAAAAAAAATTTTTAGAATTCAAGGCATCAAACAGAATTTTCATACGATAAGTTGCTGCGAATTTCAAATTTTTTACCTGTCAACATAAAGAAAAAAAAAAAAGATAATAATCTTTTTTTACTTCATATAATCTTCATATAATAAAAAGAAATGAAGAACTTTACTTTATCATTTGTTCGTTATTTTATCATTTTATCGATTTATACAACGAACGCCTTATACAATGCAGAAAATAATATCTCTTTTACAGACCCATAAAATGATCTTTTTTTGACAAAAAGAACATCGTATGTAGATGATACGATATTGGTGCAACTTCAGCTCCTTCAATTCTTGATTTTTTGGGAAACCATACGATATTATTCTATCACATTTATCCTATTATAATACAGTTGAAAATTCTTCATCTTCTTTGTTTGGTGTTAACATATCTTGGGAAGGGAAGGTCCTAAGGTTTCGTGTTCATACAATTACATTTAAGTTGGAAGTTTTGAGTTTTTTTTTTTAAAAAAAAAAAAAAAAAAAAAAAAAATTATTTCCTATTTTGAAACTTAGTCATAATTATATTCATCCAGTTTGTTACCATAAAACTGAAGGATACCTTGTTCGACCTTCATTCATAATTTCAAAATTAATCCTGAAGACGGATTTCTTTTTCTCGGTTCATGATGGCGAATATATTTATTGGAAACATTTCAATTTACCGTAAGTCTCATTACATGATCATTTTTACTTTCTTTGATCATACACGATAAATTTATCTCTCATTATTTTTTTTTATATTTGAAATTGAAGAGATAGTACAGGAAATATTCATCCCATCGCTAACAGAACGGTATGTAATAAGAATGTTCTTGAAATTTGGCCATATCCGAGTGTAAATCAACAGAAACCCAAGAATATTATGAAAGTTATATATTTTTTTTTATTTTCACGATGAACCTTTCTTGATACAAAATCTTTGGAGTGGATT